TATTTATTAAATTGAGCATTATTTACGAGTAAGTCCAATTACACAATAGTCAAACTGTGTATTTCTATCCAAGATCTATTACTAAAATCTTGCTCCTAAAAAATTCGTAATCAACTTATGTATAATGAATTAATAGGATTCGCAGAATTTTCCTCAATGTTCCTATCTTTCATACATTCATTAAATTTAAAATATTGAGCATTTCCTTTAAATCTATGCTTTTTATCGAAATTAATGGCATAAAGCGCCATTATTTGAATTTATATGTTTTTATAGTCGTAAAGCATTCTCATTGTATCATAATGTCTAGTTATTAGTTAATGCCTTCTTGTCCCTTAGGGCAGTATGATGTGCTTCTAAGCCAATTTCTTTCGAAAAATCTGTGGCAGGGTATAAACTTGCTAAGTACGGATACAATAAATTGCTTTTTTTCAAATCTTGATGCATTTTACGCAAACAAATGCATAATTTTGCTTTTGCAAATCATATTTCAAATTTATTCTTCATAGAATGATGAGCAATGATAAGGACTATCAAACATTAATTGCAAACATTTGTGCAGTCTTCTGATTTATTTTGCCGAACTAAATGGTCTCTGATTTGATAGTGTCATATCTTTGGCAAGGCGGATGGAAGATATTTGTAGATTGGCCTTATCGGATACCGAAGGAGGGTTGCCTTGGACATTTGCTTGTTGAATTGTACAAAGTAGGTCTCAGCTCACCGTCTTACGACCCAGATTTCTCCGTCCAGAGCTTTCGTCCGTCATGTAACGGATATCGTCAGAGCCCGAAACAATTATTCACGAAATATCATCAAAAACACTAAACCAAGAAAAGTGGCCATTTGAGATCCTACTTACTTCTCATACCTCAATTTGTAATCTTACTGAAGCATTCCATGACTTAGCTGGCTGTTTTATGCTCATCCTACACGCATGTAAGCGAGATAAAGTTATACAGGAGGGAAGCGGATTGGGTCACAACTTTAGTCTGTAAATACACTAGCGCATTATCCTATAATTCTTGGGTTTACTATAGCTTCGTCAATGCGTGTTAATGTCTGCATGCAAACTCACGAGTTGTTTGCAATTTTAGGTCCAAAACAAGACTCCAGTTTAGTCAGTGGCTCTTTCTCTTCACTTTCCTTTTCTCTTTCTCTCTCTCTAATTCTATTCAGCAGCCAGAGATAATTTATGTTTACTTTCCTACATTCGTTCCACTTATTCAGGATGTTCTTTGTTTTGCTAATTTTAATCCGCTCCCTCATCTTCCGCTTTGATGCAAAGTTCCCATATCCTACAAATCTTTTGGATTTATATCACTATCTGGTGTCCTGCAGTGACCATATATTCAGCCATCTCCGATTTCTGCGTCATTAAACCTTTGAAGTTGGTTCTCTGTTCTGCTACTCTCTTATCCACAGGTCGACAAGTCTCCTCCACCTGAGCACAAAGCTTTATAACAACCGCATCCGCAAAGGGCGTTTGAAGATCCTCTAAAAGAAGGCATGATCAAGGAAAGCGTTATTTTTTCTTCATACATTGTCTTGACGCTCCATTTCCTCAGTAATTCGTCTATCTTTCTTGAAAGCTTGCACAATGGAAGCATTAGGAACCTGGACACCGTTGTCTAATTCTCTGTTTTGTCTTAAATAATGGTTTATTTTCGCTCTATTTCTTAATATTTTTTAAATATTTAACAATTAATCCTAACGGATAATTGTTCTCAACTAAGATTTTTTTAGCCTTTATAAATCCTATTCCTGATGATTCACGTCCTTTATACGTATACTACCTATTATCATTGATTTCATTACTCGATAGCTAAGCCTCCGATTTGCTCGTACAGTTTACCATTAAAGATAAAATATGTACTATTCATTATTAAGTTCGTCAATATCATCACTGACTCCTTGGTATAACTTATGGATGTCGATTTAAGCTTAATCCTAAGGCCTCTATCGCACACTTACTAGCAAATCTTCTTGTTCTATTATTTGCTTATCTAGTAACTTTATTAAGTCATAAAAATTCTTTATTGAAAATTTTCAAATACCTGAGAATTGACAACAAAGAAGTCGTGATGTTTTATACATCACACCACTATTATTGTTCACGATGATCTCCTGTGGGAATCATTCTGTGGATTTTGGGCAGACTATGTGCATTAGGAGGTCTAGCTTCACGTTGGAGAAGTGCCTTTATTTTCCACTTCTCCATCTTTAACGCAGTGTTGCAGGCAACTCTTAAGTCTCAACTTTAGTTTTTCTGTATGGTCCTTAGTTATAATTCTATATGTATCAAAATCAGCTAAAGCCCACGTCATCTTTTATACATAATCTGCCCTAGGCATAACTACAATTACCCATCCTTTTTTCCTTTGTAAGTGGGGTTTTGAGACTATCAGTGAATCAGTTATGTGAGATGTATTCATCCTATCTCGTTTAAGATTGTTAAGACCTTAAACCAAATAAAGTGAATACTTCTCATATAACTAAGTAATTTAGTCGATATTGTTACCAAATATAATTTTGCTCACCTTTTTTTTCCATATGTTGGACACTGTCTAGGCATAGAGCTATGCTTTACGAAAGTTTAGCAAACTGCCTACATATATCCTGATTTTGTCACTTTAATGCTTCATTTCATTATTTATTTGTCTATTTTATGCCTATATTTAAGGAAAGTAGATTATCGAAACTGATAGCGTTTCAAATCATATGCTGCATTATCCGAGTTCGATTCATGCTAAAGGTGCTGTTTAGACCCAGTAGTGTTTAAAAGAGCAGTTCACCTTTAATGCAAATATCTCTTGGAAAGCAAGGATAGGTGAGATTCATTGTAGGAAAATTCATTTATGTGGCCTTGGTAAACTCTTACTGTTAACCCGTGCAACATCTACGAATGGTTTGACCTGACAGTCCTAACTAGACAAGTCTCTTGCTACCTCTCCCATTTAACCCTATCTAAAATCCGCACGTCGTTTCTGCCCAATCATCTATACTGGTTCCTTCTATTTTAAATGTTTAACTTTGTTCCTTTTTAGAGATTTCATTATCTTTTGCTTACTTTTGTAAAGCACAATGGAATTAGTGAGGCAGTAGTGTATAAAAACTCTGCTGTAGGGATAAATTGTACTTATATAATCATTTCACTATTTTGATAATATTATATTTAATAATTTATCTAGTTTTAGATAATCAGCGCATAGACTAAAGTTGTGACCCCATCCGCTCCCCTTCCTGTATAACTTTATCTCGCTTACATGCGTGTATGACATTTTTAGAACTGTGATCAAATCAACTCAAATTGTTTGACATTTACTTAGATCTTCAATTATTATTTGGTGCCCTTCTATATTATAGATCCAAGATTCTCTTAATTATATTACTGTATTCTGATGGTATATATAGCGGTAATATTTAGGTCGAACACATCATTTGTGTTGCCAAAAGATAAATACTGACGGATTATGGCTTCTTTATAATGTCACGGATTCCTATAGATAGAAGCAACTTAATTTATTTATCAACTCTTTCTCATTACATTTGCCTATGAATCCATTTCATTTGGCTTTTAAAACTAAATTTGAGATATAATGAGGTTGCACTCTTATTGAGTTCTATATTAGCATTTGTGTTATATCTTGTTTTGGCTATCCCTAATGAGCTATGTATTCATATATTCCATTTGTACAGTCACTTCATCATTATCCGCGTCTGGCTACTCCCTTTCTGAGCTCGACATAAGCTGGAATATCCTCCCTCCTGGCTCTCTTCGCCCACTTTCTCGACTTCTTTCTAACCCGAGATTGATTGGCTTGAGGAAACTTAATCTCCGCGGTTGTTATTCTACTTTCTCTCCCTCATATCCAACTATTCATGATCTCGGCGTAGAAAAAACTA